AGTCTTCAATTGGTGGTGTGAACGCCTTCACCTGAATAGGTGGAATCTCAAACAGTCTGACCTTGTAATACATTCGACTATGAGATATTTCGTTAGTTAGTAAGTTAGTCAGTTAGTAAGATTCACAAGACTGCGACTACCTTGTTGCTCTGAATTCATGATCCCACCATCATCAAGTAATACAACAGTCGATCATTGTCAGTAAGATAAATACACAAGACTCATTGATTTCCTTCTCGTCTGATCATTTCAATCGTCTGTGTATTCATATTGTTTTCTCATTTCAGACTGCAGTCTTCCTCCTCGTCTGCTTCTTCGTCATCATCAATCTGGCTGATTCCGACAACGCACCACGTAAGTTGACACAAACTCTGCTTATGAATTGTCGATCGGTGCATGATTTCACTCAGTCAGTGTCAGTCATATCACATTCGTCTTCATTGTTGAGCGAATACTCCACAGATTACATGCACATCCATTACACCGATTCACATAACTCAGTGTGTGTGTATGTGTGTGTCTGCGTGTGTTTGTGTGTGTGTGAGTTTGTGTGTGTGAGTGAGTGAGTGTGGTTGACTGTCACACGTCTCCACGTGGAATCCATCATGATGACAGTGTCGGTTTCGTGAAGTGAGCATGTCATTAGTCTGTGTGATTACATACGCAATTGGAATCACCGCCGCTCCAATGCCTCTTTGCATACGCGAATATTCAGGTGTTTGAATATTCGCTCTTCCTCCACGCAGATGCTTGGTTGATTGTTTAGTTGGTTTGTCATCTGTTAGTGCTATGAAAAGATTAGCAGGATGATTGGTGCGTCATGCATTGTGGTGGACGTGTGACAAACACTGCTTGTTGTGTGAGCATGCGAGAGCGTGTGTGTGGGTGTGTCGACTGTGACAGACGTGGAAATGTGCATCGCCTATCTGATGGTCTCGAAATCTGTCGATGTTGGTGATTGTGAGATTTCCTTTGATTAAACTATCTATAAACTATGATTTCGCTGAATGTATTTCTGACGCACTCGCCTCTTGTTCGCTTACTTGCTCACCGTTTTCATCTCTCTCTGTCTCTGTCTCTATCCCACATTCTCCAGAAACCAGTCAGAAGGAGGCTGAAGAACTAGCGAAGATCAAGGCATCACCTGAATTCAAAGATGCCAAGGCCAAAGTTCTCACTGTACTGTCAGCCAAGATCGATAACTACGTTCTCGACAGTCTACGCAAGAAGAAAGTCCCAACTGGACAAGATTTTTAGAAGCGAATCGCCTGATGTCTGCCTACTCTGAAAATGGTGTTCAGTATACCACTTGCTGTCTTTTATAGAGCTTGTCAATTAACTGGTGAGTAGGAAGAAGATTGTGTGTAGGCGTTTGCTTTTATTTGTGATGTACAACATGTGAGAAGCTTCCACCAACCACTTTTGTTCACACAACTCTTTCTCTATGTAAAAATACATGTATAGATTGTTGAGCGTTGTTTTCATTGTCTTATTCTTCTCATTGTTTTTGTCTGAGCTGTGGAGACAGACCATTGGAATGTGTGATGAGTTGTGCATTTACACGAGTGGAAGGATAAGAGATTGTTCAAGGTGTTGATAGAGAACAATTTATTTGGTTTGGTGAAGGCGATGGTCTGCACCACAGGAGGAACAGTGAATTTCGAGGCTTCTCCTTAACCACTGACATCCGAAAATATACATACATAAGATTACCGACATTATCACACGCATTCTCCATTCTTTTCAGGAGAAGCTTGCCATGATGATGGTATTTCAAGGAATCGACAATGTGTGACATGTGACAACAGCATAATCAGTTACAGATAACTTGAGAGGAGAGTAGTGGTCATTTCTCACGAGTTTGTAAGAATGGATATTCGAGGAGTTTCGGCAATAGTCTTAACAGTGAGGAGTCACACAAATTGGCCAGCCACATATGGGGAAATATGATAACGCATTTATATACAATAAGCACTTAGAAGTGATGTGAATTCAATTGAGTGTGTTAAGAGCGATGGGTAAAAATGAAATGAACTCCGTGTTATTGATAACAGCAATATAATAATGGCCCGCATGGTCAGTCGTCGAAGGGAACAGCATGTGAATTACGTGATCACTGGGGTAATGCTCGCCACAGTAGTCTCAGATTCACCACTGACTACTTCTGATAATTTTGAGTTGCGTGATAGGAACATGATGGATTTCTTCATTTGTTGATATTGGTAAATACAGTTTGAATATCCATTCTGTTTGTCCATTCGATTCGATGTGGGCCAGTGATTCTGGTGAGGGAGTGTGTATGTTTGACTTGCAGGCTTTCGGAATATGTTCGGAGAAACGAATGGTTGATAGGTTGTGCTGAAATAAAGGTTTCATGCTCTCAATGGAGGATTCAGATATTGATGAGACTTTTACTCGTGATGGGAATTGTGCATGTGAACAGTCCACATTGAGTGCATTTCCGCATTTGCCTCTCGAATGGACTGTTATTTCACTATGCGTGGTCTGTGTTGATTCATTTTGTGTCAGTTCAGTGATTGGTTATTATTTTGAGCATGGTGATTTAATTACGCCATTTGGTGTTTCATGCATGTTTACTGATTTACATGCAGAAATGTCAATTGTTTCATTTGTGCATAATTGATTGTTTGCAACAATTCCTACCAGTCGAATTGTTTTCTCGGCATCCTTTTAATGCAAACAGGCCGTGTTAAAATGTCTATTGTCACTCAATAGTCGGTAGTTTAATTTTCATATCGAGCACCATCACAATATCATGATATCAGGATCTCGTGTGAGATTCGCTTCATTTGAATGGTGACATTGGAAGTCTGTCAAGATTTCTATATTGTATGAACTGACTCGTGACTGATTACATTGGTTGAAACCACCTTTATGAGCTCCTCCACCTAATTCTTCAGAAATCCACTAAATATATATATTTTCATCAATCTACTTCTTGATCCTGCTTTCAATCTCACGAGATCGCTATCATTAGCTCAGTCACTCCGTCTTCACTGATACAGTTACTCTGTCTTTTCTATCACACACTGCAGTTCATCATCATGTATCGATTTCCACTTGATTTTGGTGACTGCTCACAGACTACTATGTGACTCAATGTGACAGGTACTAGAAATTCGGGAATACAATATCATAGGAAATAACACCGGATAAAACACTCAGAATGATGAAACCAGCCTTTATGTATGAAGTTAATAATAAACGACCTGGCAAATTTTACAGTGTGTTCAGATGCCGTAAGATGGGAAAATAAGATAACTGGAGCGTCATCGATAAAACGAAATGCATGAAATCTTCGGACGTTATACTGTTAACTGAATTGGGGAAATATTCCGCATCTACCTAGCTCCACAAGAGCATGTGAACACATAAATGCGCATTGTTATTCGAGAATCAATGATTATTACTCAGCTATTCTCCAATCAGTCAATCTTAAACTGGATTATTGAGGGTTGTGTGAGATGAACCCTTCTCTCTGAGATCAGATGCTAGACATTTTACTTCATCACATCTTTACCACATTTGTTGTTTCATTCACAAATCGTTGTACTGACACATGTTATCATTACTGACTATTTGGGACATATCTGACGATATTGACTGTTGAAAAAATATGACGTTCATCCGAAATACGTGGAATTGACTTAGTGTGATAGGTGCAGGTGTGAATATATCAGAAAGTGGGAGATATGATTTTCACATTTCCCTGCTGATATTTTAATATTATGCCAGTGAGGATGACGAAGGAATAGCGGACGTTGATGTATCACTCGATGTTTATAGACTTCTTTCGAGAAATCTACAAGGGTAATCTCCACGTAAATTTCGGAATAAATATACCTAACGGTTAAGTTACTCGTAAAATCCAGAATAATAATTATTATTATAGTGATAGTGTAGGCGTATTAAAGACCTAGAATTGTATGATGTCTTGGCCAACTGGCATGAAAAGCACTGTATCGGTCCCTCAGAAGGACAACAGATGGCTGTGTCAAAAACGACCCACAGTTAGAAATTAACAACACGCCAATGTTCAGAGTAGGAAAAAAGGGGTTCGAATAAGCATAGCGCGCGCGAGAGACAGAGTGGATCATAGGAGGAAAGTATACGGAAAGAAGAGATTAATGACATGACGAAATTCACAGCCATTCCTTATAATCGACCCAACTATCGATGAACCGAATCAAGGGCAGAGTAGGTAATTGGTCTTTCGGGCTTCAAAGCTGTCTCAGAATCATTTTGGAGCCATCATCTAGCCTCCCAGCTCCGAACGTTTCAGTGAATACCGCTTTATGTTCACTGCCTCGAACACTGAAAGTGTTATTCACATGTCCATCGACAGGTGTTTTCAAGAAGACGCACCGACTTGAGAACAAATCAAATTTAAGGGCATTTCCAAACAGACAGTACAGTGATCCCATCAACACACAGAACATTCCTATCGTGAAAGTTCGTAAGATAAAATGACTTTGAATTATATGACATAGATTTAACGAAACAAGTAACTTCACCTACTGGTTTTAAAATATCTCCAGAAGCACGTTTATCAGTGTGACATGTAGCAGAGACTGGTGGGCGTTCAGTCGAAAGCTAAGTTTTTCAGAAGAGATAAGGGTTATTTCCAAGGAGGCATCGAACTGAAGTCGAATCAACATCAAATACATGCAATCGAAATCATGCAACACCCAGTCCGGATATGTCGAAAATCTGAATAAACAACAGGCTGTAGAGAAAAATGTGCATAACAAGCTACGAAGCCGCTTGGATAAATTGATATAATTATGAGCAATAAACTCAGCTCTAAACGTTATCCAGTTGACACCACTATATCACTGTGTGATACATCCATTAAACGAATATAATCTTGAATTACATTAGACCACAGTGCTCAAATTGCACTCTCATATTGATGAACTAACTGGGTGACAATTTAAAGACAGTTCGATATATATCCCTGATCATTCTAGACTTCGACATTAGAAAACAACTGTAAGTGAATCGCTATTTCTCCTTGAAGTAAGCATCGATGCATTACTCGATAGATTGCAATCAGTAGTATCCAAGTAAGTTATACAAATTTCCTCATCACGCCACAATTTCTCGAAATGTTCAATTGCTTTTCTTTTATAGTCATATATGTCTGTGATGCAATCGTTCACAGGAAAAAAACACAATGAAAGATGAGACATTTCCGGATGCAAATGCGGAAGTGCACTCAATGCGGACTGTTCACATGCACAATTCCCATCACGAGTAAAAGTCTCATCAATATCTGAATCCTCCATTGAGAGCATGAAACCTTTATTTCAGCACAACCTATCAACCATTCGTTTCTCCGAACATATTCCGAAAGCCTGCAAGTCAAACATACACACTCCCTCACCAGAATCACTGGTCCACATCGAATCGAATGGACAAACAGAATGGATATTCAAACTGTATTTACCAATATCAACAAATGAAGAAATCCATCATGTCCCTATCACGCAACTCAAAATTATCAGAAGTAGTCAGTGGTGAATCTGAGACTACTGTGGCGAGCATTACCCCAGTGATCACGTAATTCACATGCTGTTCCCTTCGACGACTGACCATGCGGGCCATTATTATATTACTGTTATCAATAACACGGAGTTCATTTCATTTTTACCCATCGCTCTTAACACACTCAATTGAATTCACATCACTTCTAAGTGCTTATTGTATATAAATGCGTTATCATATTTCCCCATATGTGGCTGGCCAATTTGTGTGACTCCTCACTGTTAAGACTATTGCCGAAACTCCTCGAATATCCATTCTTACAAACTCGTGAGAAATGACCACTACTCTCCTCTCAAGTTATCTGTAACTGATTATGCTGTTGTCACATGTCACACATTGTCGATTCCTTGAAATACCATCATCATGGCAAGCTTCTCCTGAAAAGAATGGAGAATGCGTGTGATAATGTCGGTAATCTTATGTATGTATATTTTCGGATGTCAGTGGTTAAGGAGAAGCCTCGAAATTCACTGTTCCTCCTGTGGTGCAGACCATCGCCTTCACCAAACCAAATAAATTGTTCTCTATCAACACCTTGAACAATCTCTTATCCTTCCACTCGTGTAAATGCACAACTCATCACACATACCAATGGTCTGTCTCCACAGCTCAGACAAAAACAATGAGAAGAATAAGACAATGAAAACAACGCTCAACAATCTATACATGTATTTTTACATAGAGAAAGAGTTGTGTGAACAAAAGTGGTTGGTGGAAGCTTCTCACATGTTGTACATCACAAATAAAAGCAAACGCCTACACACAATCTTCTTCCTACTCACCAGTTAATTGACAAGCTCTATAAAAGACAGCAAGTGGTATACTGAACACCATTTTCAGAGTAGGCAGACATCAGGCGATTCGCTTCTAAAAATCTTGTCCAGTTGGGACTTTCTTCTTGCGTAGACTGTCGAGAACGTAGTTATCGATCTTGGCTGACAGTACAGTGAGAACTTTGGCCTTGGCATCTTTGAATTCAGGTGATGCCTTGATCTTCGCTAGTTCTTCAGCCTCCTTCTGACTGGTTTCTGGAGAATGTGGGATAGAGAGAGACAGAGAGAGAGATGAAAACGGTGAGCAAGTAAGCGAACAAGAGGCGAGTGCGTCAGAAATACATTCAGCGAAATCATAGTTTATAGATAGTTTAATCAAAGGAAATCTCACAATCACCAACATCGACAGATTTCGAGACCATCAGATAGGCGATGCACATTTCCACGTCTGTCACAGTCGACACACCCACACACACGCTCTCGCATGCTCACACAACAAGCAGTGTTTGTCACACGTCCACCACAATGCATGACGCACCAATCATCCTGCTAATCTTTTCATAGCACTAACAGATGACAAACCAACTAAACAATCAACCAAGCATCTGCGTGGAGGAAGAGCGAATATTCAAACACCTGAATATTCGCGTATGCAAAGAGGCATTGGAGCGGCGGTGATTCCAATTGCGTATGTAATCACACAGACTAATGACATGCTCACTTCACGAAACCGACACTGTCATCATGATGGATTCCACGTGGAGACGTGTGACAGTCAACCACACTCACTCACTCACACACACAAACTCACACACACACAAACACACGCAGACACACACATACACACACACTGAGTTATGTGAATCGGTGTAATGGCTGTGCATGTAATCTGTGGAGTATTCGCTCAACAATGAAGACGAATGTGATATGACTGACACTGACTGAGTGAAATCATGCACCGATCGACAATTCATAAGCAGAGTTTGTGTCAACTTACGTGGTGCGTTGTCGGAATCAGCCAGATTGATGATGACGAAGAAGCAGACGAGGAGGAAGACGGCAGTCTGAAATGAGAAAACAATATGAATACACAGACGATTGAAATGATCAGACGAGAAGGAAATCAATGAGTCTTGTGTATTTATCTTACTGACAATGATCGACTGTTGTATTGCTTGATGATGGTTGGATGATGAATTTAGCACAATGGAATAGTCGCAGTCGTGTGAATCCTCCTAACTGACTGAGTAAGTTACTCACTAACTAAATAACTATCTAGTTTAATAGCTAGCTATCCAACTAATTTGCTGGCTAAATAAATAACCAGCTAGCTAACTAACTGACTAGCTGACTGACTAACTTACTAAGTTAGTAAGTAACTGAATATCCAAATACCTCGTAGTTGAATATATCGCATAGTGAGACTGTTTGCGATCCCACCTATTCAGGTGAAGGCGTTCACACCACCAATTGAAGACTATCTCATCTCTCACGAGTTGCACATCATCTCTTCACACTGAACTGCAATTTGCTCATGATCAACTCACATTCATTGTCTTGTTGAATAAGAAAGGACTTTTGCGTACAAGTGCTTCCTACTACTCTCGCCCTTTATATACTCTTGCATTTACTCTTCATGTGTAAATGTCTGTTCTCTCTGTTCTAATTGTGTATTGAACATTGATAATCAACAAATGATTGTTCGATTGAAGTTTTAATTGCTTTTTCGATTGTTTGTTGTTTATGTGCGGATTCCATTAATATGTAGAAATGGACAGTCTGTTTACTAGTTTGTGTTCGCTATATGATCGTTTTTCGCGATCACACTTAATTTGATTATTGGCCTACAATCAGTAAGAGGGAAACAATTGTGTGATATATTATTCTTCGGGAATTATATTTCACGTGTTTTGCGGTTGTTGCTTATTTCTTTTTCTGCTTTTCTGTTATTTAATTTGAACTGTCGTTTTTCTAATTCTCATGGTTTGGTTTATTGTTGGAATCGCTGTTTAATTTCCCTCATGAATATTTCTTCAGGGTGTTTATTTGTTGTTCTGGTCGTATTTCTTTTGTCATTTCAATCGTGTGTTAATTCTTTCAGCTGTTGATTTTTGTGATGCATTTGTGTGATTATTGATAATATTTTGAACTTTAAGCAATTTGATAGGAGTGTTTAGTTTTTTGAATTATTTCAAATAATAATGTGTGTTCCAATGATGTGGAGATACTCTCATTGCGTCAGTCTTATTCTTCACTTTTCCTTGAATGGCATTTATTCTTGACTGCTTTTATTTTCAATGTGTGGTGGTTTTTCTGATTTTGTTGTGCTTGTTTTCCTTGAGTAGCCTTCTTATTTCTTTGGGTAACGTAATTTTTTTTTCTTTTTAATTCTTCTGTGCAAAATTCCCTTCAATGTTAGGTTTTAGAAATCCACCGGTGTTCATCAGACATCTCTCGTATTCAATATTTGCCATATTCGAACTTTAAATTATGTATTGTATCATCATAATGAAATGGAAATCGATAAATAATGATGAACTGCACTCTGTGATCAGAAATTCAGAGTAACTGCATCAGTGAAGGTGGAGTGATTGAGCTAATGATTACGATCTCCTGAAATTCAAAGGAACTATGAAGCAGTGTATTGATGGAAATGTATTTGTCAGTGGATTTCCGAAATAGTATGAGAAGGAGCAGAGTAGGTTGCTTGTTGTAAACACACTCGGTTGATGATCCTGATTTTTATTATATATCAGTTATCAAGTTGAAAGCATTACACAAGATTGCATACTGTGACGATTAAAATGGTGACTTAAACTGTTACTCAAGACTCCACAGAAATATGCATATAAGAATCTGTTGACTACAACAAAACAAATCTGCTGTTCATTTTCCTGAGGTCAAAGCATGCATTGAAGTATTTCCTCATTTTTAGGATGGGAATCCACACACACTCAAGTTAAATGTTATTGCTAGTTAAGGCTGTGCACTGCATTCATTTCTTCTCATCTCATTCCCAAGAAGTACTTACTCTACCTGAATTTCAGTTCTTCCTAGCTTTAATTCGACATTCAGTCCCCATTTCGCTTATCGTATGAGGAGCAGAAGATTTGATAATTTCTGCGAATGCGTTACACCCACGAGGACAACATCCCTTGTAAGCACATCTTTGTACTATAGAATATGTAGAATACACTCGAGTTAACATTTTTGTCATGATATATTCACTTACCGCATAGTTGTCATGGAAACACTCCAATAAGTTTATGTCCGTATTCTTTCACTCATGTCATTTCACAATATACTGCTCAGAGTTCTCTAACTTTCCATTAAGCAGACAATTTCGTTACAGGATTAGCGATGTTGTGTATCCCATCACGGCTGAATAATTATTATTTGTCTCAGTGATTCTGTGGAGGTTGTCAAATGAACACATTTGAATGCGTATATCACTGTGTGAGAGAATGCGATCAACCAGTGAGATGTGGCAAGTGCATGGTTGACTGTATGAATGCGGTGAGAAACTCGGTTTATGATCTGCACTGTTGCTGCTGTTGTTCTTATAACTGGTATTTACAGATTTTATCAGACTCCTAGATCCCACGTGTTGAACGTTTTGCGCATGCGTTGTTTAGTCTAACAGTGAACATTCGAGGATTTCTTAATTCGAATCATTCAAAATGTGGATAGCTAATTTGAAGGGTTACAGATACCTAGAGTGAAAATATTGATTTTCAAATTAAACGGATCGTGGAGAAATGTTACTTTGAATTCCTTCCTGAGAGTCTTATTTGAATGGTTTTTTTTCATATTTGTATTTTTATTTTTCCACACGTCTTTGCCTTGTTCACAGGTGATTTTATTTATTTCACCCTGTCTCACTAACGAAATATGGGATGACCTCCCTAAGTTATTTTGGTTTCTCTCTTTCACGGTATTATAACGTTGTGGATGTGAACTTCCTGATA